TTGTAGTTATCCTACAGAGAAAAGAAAATGCACTTGACTTGGAATTAATGTACTGTATGCATTCAAAAGTGCTGAATAAATGTTTTATGGACCCATAATAGTGATTATTATTTAAGTTAAGTTTTGCCATAATCATGTCTTTTTCCATAATCAGGTAGCTGAACAACATTGGTAAAAAATGTATACATTATATATATATATTTCTATTAATCATTTTCGGCCTTTCGGCATTCGGTTTTCGGCCAACTGTTTCCTATTTTCGGTATCGGTTTCGGCCAAGAATTTCCCATTCGGTGCACCCCTAATAATTATTACATTCAAAGAAACTACTTGTGTTAGATAAAGTACATTATTCAAAAGATTACATTAACTTTGAATAATAACACGGGAGAAACGGATCCTCTCTTTTCCTCTCTCCCTCCCTCTCTCTCCTGACATCCCGTCAGTTTCTCATGCAGCGCGTTAAACAGTGGGAGGGCTTCAGGTCAGACTCAGAAGCTGATCTGATCTCTGATCTCTCTCTCGCATCCGGTTACACTTCACTCGCATTTAAGTGTCCATAGGAGGAATATCGATCAGATCCAGCTCTCCTGATCGGCCTTTATAGAGAGCACAGATCAAGCTATTAAGAGTGAATATCGGCCGATAATGATCGGCGGCCAATCGATCGGAGCATCGGACATTTTGACCTGCAGATTTTGAATTCACCGGTTTTATTCAATTTTACCAGCTAAGAGCCGGCAATTAACGGCTAACGGAAACCCTGATATATATATATATATATGTTTTAAGTGGGGCTGGACCTCAGATTTCTTTTTTAAATGTTGGACTTAATTGCATCAATTTTGGTGCACTTTGAGGGACTAGATCTATGGATACATCTCTCAACACCCAGATGAAAGATATATGTATTTAAATAATCAAAACATCGTTAGAATAAGGCCTCAACCAATAACATACCATAGGGCAGGCAATAACAAATCATTTTAAACTTGTTTATTTAATTGTTTTGGTTCGTTCATGGTTGTGTTTTATTTATGTATATACAGTATATATATATGTATGTACTAGTGACTCCTCTTTTTAAACTGTATTTGGTTTTACTGTCCTATAGTACACATTGGAATGATTTCATAACTGTTTTTATTTAGTCAGGGTTTTTTATATGAGTATAATAATAATAACAATAATATAAGGGTGTGCCTTGGAAATATTTGTTTATATAAATTGTGACCAAAACATTTGAGACCCACTGAAGTAAACTATATAAAGTAAACACTCAGTCCTTTACCCCACCTGAGCTGTAGTTACCTTAGCCTCTCTCTCTAACCGGAGAGAACTCTTCTCCACCTTGTTATAGAAAAAGCTTCTCATATCCGTTAGCGAAGCTAGCTAACCAGATGCTAACAATAACAATCCCTGTAACCGGTGCGCTCTCTCAGGCTGTGTGCGTTTACAATTTACGGATATTCTTGCCTGAATTTCCTAAGGTTGGGTTCGACGTGGCTCCATTTATAATGAATGTGTTGGTTTTGTTTGACTTGTTTGCACTTTATAGAGTGGCGAAGTCCCTCCTCTTCCGGTGGACCTCCATGGGACCTTATTTCGAAAAAATTATGTATTGAAATCAATGGAGAGAATAAGATTATCTTTCGATCCCGTTTGAATTGTGCCACGAATTACACATATGATGTTTGTCAATTTAAAAGATAATTTTGCAAGTAAAAAAAAAAAAGATTTGTCGTAAAACTGTGAAGTAACACATTTTTTTGTGTGAAACGCTCAATGAACTACATCTCTGGTCTCGCAGAACAACACACGTCACCAAGATGGCCGTCACTACTGTCTTGTCAACAAAACGATTGACTACCCTCACTATCACCACAATGAAACACGTCCAGAACAATGTCATAGAGAGCTGCCTGCCTGCCTGCCTTTGATTCTCTCTGAACTGCCTGGTCTTTTTAATGTTTAATATCAACCATTTGTGCAGATAGCATGAAGTAGAAAAGATCGAAGATCGCCGATGCTAGCGTTAGCATTTCTCCCCTGGGCTTAAATTGTGTATTATAGAATGATCACACCGGTGACAGTACTCTTCAAAGGGTTCACGAAATATGACTACTACTCTTACTGTTTAACATTTTGGTTACTTCATGTTACTTCATGTTAAGGCTAATAAAAATGACAAGGCTGTAATGCTAACTAACGTGCTAGCTACTAGCTAGGTAGCTAACTTTATCCAGTCACTCCTGGTCCTTTCATCAGACGGGAAGCGAAAGAACGAGCAAGACCCATTGCTGGTATGATAACAACCTAAGCACAAAGGCATCTTGTTAAAGTTATCTTATCTTAGCCAGCGCCATATAGATAGATTATATCTATATGGCGCTGATCTTAATGGAGGAAAACAATTGTGACATCACTTACGCGACTCTGGGATTTGTAGTCTTTCTAGTTGCGTATTTTTCATAGTCTTATATTTCAACAGTTTTACGACAAACTGACTTTTTTGACATGGAAAAGATTTTTTAAGATTGACAAACATCATATGAGTAATTCATGGCACAATTCAAACGGGATCGAAAGATAAATTTTCTCTCTCCATTGACTTCAATACATTATTTTTCAGAAATAAGGTCCCATGGACCGGAAGTAGATAGGCGTGACTTCGCCACTCTATAGTTCTCTCCTCTCCTCCGCTCTTGTTTCTGACTGTAGTGTGTGCGCACGTGTGTGTGGGGAGCGGAGCGGAGCCCTGCCCTTCGGAAAACAGAGCAGAGGAGAAAATGTGAATGCGCAAAGCAACGCAGTGGACACTGAAATGTGCACATACATTTGATCAATAACATCAGCGTTTGGTTTGATTAATAAAAGAGCACCTGTTCAATATTACATATGACCGTAGTATTACTTCAGTTGTGATTTGGCGCTTTATATATATATATATGAAAAAACCTGGATAAGATATTCCTTTATCCAAACATCCTCCATGAAGAGCATTCTCTTGGATTTCAGTGACTTCTGAGCTTTTCTCTAACATTAAAGGAAAGTACAACAAGTCTCAGGAAGGACGTAATACAAACACATAAACACTGACTCTAGTGCTAGATTGGGTTTTTCTTCACCGTGTCTTTGCTCGTCTTCGCTCACAGCAGGAACCTCAGCAGAGGAGGAATGGCCCGCCAGAGCCTGCAACATCTCTTTGTACTGCTTCTTATGGCGGGGGGGAATAAACGTGCCAAATCCTTCAGAAAAGAAAGATCAAAGTGAGTGTAAAGGTCTTGTTCAAACTTCAAAATGTATTGAGTTTATGCCGTGATTTAGATTTCAGTATGCGTTACATGAATGCACACTATGCAAACAATATATCGTTTTTACTTAAGTATTGTTCTGCACAACCCTCCAAATATTTTGCACATATGTACACAAGCTACCTTTATTAGCATCTACACAGCTTTCCACTTACCATAACAATAGACACATCACATTTTATTATTCTTAGTACTATTCTTAGTATACTGTGAGTAGTTTTTTGGTTTATCGAGATTTCATGTAAATAATTTTCTATATCTTAACGTATAGTTTAAAAATAAATAGTGTTTTATAATTGTTTGCTTGTTTTTCTTACTTTTTATCTTCTTTAATTGTGAATATGTTTGCACCCTACACTTCAAGACACATTTCACTTGGCAATGAACCTGTTCTGATCCTGGTTTGAAGGGACTTACGGACTAGCAGCTGGAAGTCCTGGTCCCTCTCTGTGAACAGGCTCACAGCGGTGCCCACCAGGGCCTCGTAGCAGTCGCTTCTCTTGTAGCTCTGGATGGCCTGCAGCAGCAGCGCCGTCTTCTCTGCTCCGATGGCCTTCTTCACATCAGCCTGAAAGGAAGCGTGGGCCTCATTCTTTGGAGCAGAACCTGAGCAAAATCACCAAAAATACATTCTTTACCCAAATCCACTCAAACATACTAGTTTATGAACTTTATATAGACTTTGTTCTGTGTGCTATGCAGATGATATGCTGTTTTACAGACTAGTTTTCTTCCAAGAATGTATGATATTGTTTTAACACAAAGGTAGTGGCTAATAGTGTACTATGTTAATGTACATAAACTGACTGCGGTGGCTGGATTGGAAATAGGCACATAGTTACCATAATGGTAAACAGAGATATGTTAAGATAAGACTTTATTCATCCGGAAAGGAATTCTTGTGCCAGAGTTACAAAAGATACAATACATAATAATAATAGAACTACTACTAACGATGCAGTAAAAAGAGCAAATCAAGCAACAAATTAAAAGAAACAAAGATGGACATATAATGTAAAAACTGTAGTGGCAGATACATTGTACATACATTATTGCACATGATATAACACAGCAGCCCCACGTGTACTGAACACTACTGAACTCACATTTAAGACTGCTAAACTCCTGAGCTCTGTGCCTTCATACCAGTCATCTGTTTGCATCTTACATATTTATCTTTAGACTTCTCTTTTCTTGTTACTGTCTTGCTCTTTGCACTATATGTTAGGACCCCCTTGAAACGAGATGGTTCATATCAAGGGGTATATCCTAAATTAATAAATGTCAATTATTATTACAATATGCAGGATTTTATTTCACTTACAGCATTTCATTTTAAATTCTATTCTTAGCTCATCTTATTCTATTTTGCATATATATATTTAACTTCTCCTGCATTACTTGCAAAATAATCTTGCACTATTTTATTTCTGCATTTATATATTAATATTTTGCATTTTTTGAAGAGCCTGGGACTTGAGCTTTCGTTGCATATTCACACTGTAGCTGTGCATATGACAATAAAGTCTTTGCATCTTGAACTTTGAACCCTAGTGACATCATACCAGTGTGAGGCCTCTGGCTCAGGTGGAGTTCCCCCTTGTTGAGCTGCTCTGTGTTCAGCTGACTGCAGGTGGAGGGGGGTGGGGTCACACCCAAAGCATGCCGTCTGACTGCAGCTGTGAGAACACACAAACACAGATAGAGTTTTGGTCTTTCTTTCCTCTTGATCAAACACAACAACACATTGCCTCCACCAACCAGTACAGGTGCCTCCCTGTCATCACTTCAGCCTTTTCATCCATTAGACATTTGAGTGAAATTGTCATAATTATAGTATACATTTGTGTGAATATAAAAAAAGGCATTGCAAAAGGACATCAACAACATGGTGAGCCCCAACTTCACAAACAATCAAGAACCAAACACAAGACAGTGGGTAAAAAGCTGTACCCCGGTGTTGGAGTAGAATGTCCCTTAACAAAGTGCTCTGTTTTAGAAAATAATAGAGTACAATTAGTATTTAGTATTTGAAGGTCTCCCTTGAAAAAGAGATCTATGAAGGGACCAATCTGGTTAAATAAAGGTTTGAATTTAGTCAAATAAGTGTAATGTTAAGGTGTGTACAGTGTCAGCCCAGGGACTGCATCAGATATGTGCGTGTGTAACTTGAGCGTGTGTAACTTGTGTGTGTGTGTGTGTGTGTGTGTGTGTGTGTGTGTGTGTGTGTGTGTGTGTGTGTGTGTGTGTGTGTGTGTGTGTGTGTGTGTGTGAGAGAGAGAGA